ACAACAGACACACAACAGACCTACAACAGACACACAACAGACACACAACAGACCTACAACAGACACACTAACACACCCAGGGCGGTGCGTCTCCTAGGCGACCTCTGCGGCCGACATGGAGCAGCGTCTGGACTGCGGTCTGGTGAAAGGACACGCTTACGCTGTGACTGACGTCCGCCGGGTCCGACTGGGTCACGGGCTGCTCGCCTTCTTCAGGTCCGACAAACTCACCATGATCCGCATGAGGAACCCCTGGGGCCAGAGGGAGTGGACCGGGCCCTGGAGTGACAGGTGAGTCTGGGGGGACAGGTGAGGTCAGACAGGTGACCTGGAACATGATTGGCTCTTTAGTGTCTTAAAATTCATTCAGTGACTTCAGTGTTGTTCGATACCAGACTTTACACCCACCTGCCTCGTCATCGGGTTCACCTGTTCGGCTGCTCGTTAATGTCCAATTAGCCAATCACATGGCAGCAATTCGGTGGCTTTAGCTGGCAGACATGATGAAGACGACCTGCTGGAGTTCAACCAGAGCATCAGAATGAGGAGGAAACGTGATTTAGGTGGACGTGAACGCGGCGCGTTGTCGGTACCAGACGGGCTGAACAGCCGTCTCTGGAGTGTAGAGATCGGTGCTGAAGGAGGAACCTCCAGGAGCAGCAGATGCTTAGAGGAGAACCAGACAGAAAGACAACAGAAACTGACTAACGCTGTAATAGCCCACGAGAACCCACCAGGTGTTCTACTTTCAACTGAGTTCACTTGAACTGGACCACAGCAGACTGGAAACACGTTGTGGTTCTGATGAGTTTCTGCTGCAGCGTTCAGAGGATCAGAGTTTGGTGGAAACAACATGAAACATGGATCCGTCCCGCAGCGGTTCTGCTGGTGTGATGTGTTGTGTTTTCTTAGAACCAGCTGAGCTCCATCCAAACCCAACATCCATCCTGAGTGCTGGTTCTGACCGTGTCCAATCCTCCATGAACACAGCATCTTCTGGTGCTTCAGCAGCAGAACCTCCACATCACAAAGCTCAGATCATCTCAACCCAATTTCTGGAACATGAAGAGTTCCCTGTTCTCCAACAGTCACCAGAACTCAGTCCAACAGAACCTTTGGGATGAGCTGAAGCAGGAGGTTCTCATGGTGGATGTGCAGCAGACAAAGCTGCAGCGACTGATGTGTCCCATCGGTGTGGACCTGTTGGACCACACAGAACCTGAACTAGTGATGAATCGGATTAACATGATGGATACTGAAGCACGTTCTGCTTTCATGGTCCTACTGCCCATCAGCTGTCTGCTGGTTCTGGACTCTGTCGGGCTCATTTCTCAGCACATGAACTCCTCGTCATTCACTCATTCATGTGTTACCCTGAAGCCCAGAGGTCATGTGACTCCTGTTTGACTCAGTGTTGGACCTCAGAGTGACGTTTTCTGACTCGGTTCTGTTTGCAGCTCTGAGGAGTGGAAGAAGGTCAGTACGAGTGAGCGGGAGAAGATGGGCGTCACAGTGGAGGACGATGGAGAGTTCTGGTGAGTTCTGCTGCGGCGTTGCACCTGCTGGTTAACGTTAGACCTGCTTTGTTTCTGTCATCCTGAAATGTTCTGATGAAGTTCTGAGGCTCAGAAATGATGAAAAAAGTCCATTAAAGTGATCAATCTGGAAATATTCACAGTCTGAAGGTAGAACTCTGCTGCATTAAATAAAGTTACTGCAGATACAGAACCAGAAGTTCTGAGGAGGTTCTGGAGGGAATTGATTGATTTCTCGTGAGGTTCTCTGAGGAACGTTTCTCTCCAGTCTCACAGTAACTTCTTTTCTTCTCTGCAGGATGACGTTTGATGACTTTATCGCCAACTTCACTGACCTCATCCTGTGTCGCCTCATCAACACGTCCTACCTGAGCCTCCACAAGACCTGGGAGGAGGCCGTGATGCAAGGAACCTGGCGTCGCCACGACGACCCGCTGCTGAACCGGGCCGGCGGCTGCAGCAACAACAAGCAGACCTTCCTGCAGAACCCACAGGTGAGTCGGCTTTCAGGTGAGACATCTGCATCCATGAGGGGCGGAGCCTAATAGCAAGTCTGTCTTCTGCTGCAGTTTGTGTTTGACGTGAAAAAAACGGAGGACGAGGTTCTGATCTGTCTGCAGCAGAAGGACCGAAGAGCATCGCTGAAGGACGGACGAGGAGAAAACCTGCCGATCGGCTTCGACATCCACAGAGTGAGTTCAGCGTGGTCGATGATAAACATCTGGCATCACAACCTGTTTATACAACATCTGTTATTACAACCTGTTATTACAACATCTGTTATTACAACATCTGTTTATA